AATGCTCTGTGCCTGCCAATGTTGTGAAAGGACACAGTTTGTCACAACTCAATGTTTTTTTAATAGAAAAGCAAGTAGGAATAGAAATATGAAGTAAACCCACCTGAAATTTGAGTTGGAAGAAGCAAATATGGATAAGAACTGGTTCACTGATATGCCCAACTGAAAATCCCACCATGGAATGAGAAATTCTAGCATATTATGCTTCTTCTTGCAGGCTTGCCACTGTAGTATCCTCAAATTGCTTGGGACAGTCAATCCTCCCCCTAGATTTTCAGCAAAAGACCACAGGTTACAAATGTGAGAGAGAGAGAGAGAGAGAGAGAGAGAGAGAGAGAGAGAGAGAGAGAGAGAGAGAGAGAGAGAGAGAGAGAGAGAGAGAGAGAGATTAGTGATGAGTCATATACTTGAGCAAGGAAACCAATGATCTATGTCCCAAGCAAGGGGAGAAGCAGAATCAGCATGGTAATACAGAACATTGCCATACGGATCGACTCGAATTACTGCAGGATCGAAGCCAGCATTCCTGAAATTCAATGTAAGCAGAAAAAATTAAGTAAAAAAGTATCATAATTGAATTCTCCAGTTTGCTCATGTCATGTTGAAGGTTTATGGAGCAAAATTAAGAGGGTTACCCAAGGTGGTTGAGCTGCTTCCACAACAGACTAACAAAAATCTTGGGCCTGGTAGTAGGTTTTGCTTTCGGGTCGATAATGGGAAACATCTGCTCAAAATCTCTTGCTCTCAAATCCTGAAAACCAAATTATATCACAAAAACCAGCATTCACAGAATGAAAAAACATTAAAGAAAACCAATTACTGCAAACACATTTAAAAGCACCCAAAAAGAAAGAAAGAATGCTGTTAGAACAAAACATGGGGCATCCAGGACATAGTTCAATTTCAATTACCAAATTTCAAGTAAATCCTATGACCTTTCATAATTCGTCTCAAATTCTGGATGAAACCTATGACAATCCGATAAACATTTATACGATAGATCTTCCGACCAATATCAGAGAAACAAATAAATTGAACATGGTAATGTTTAATTCTCTGCACATAAAACTTTCCTGAGCTGAATTTTTCCAGTTTCAAAAACTCAAATCAGCTTATATGCTAAAGCCCAATTTTCAATTTTCTCCCTCTATGTCTTTCACTTTCCTGGGAAGCGAACAGAAAGTTAGAAAGGATCATATCTCTTACCTCCTGTTGCTGCAGACAGTAAGGCATGAAAGTGAAAGGAGGGCCATGGCTGTAAGGTCCAGCACTGCGATCACGGCAGAGCTTCGCGTAGGCTTTTGGGTACCCAAGACCATCATCGATTGCCATTTCATCTGCTGTGAATGAGTAATCGAAAGCCATTGTTCTTCACTTGGATGCACAGAACAGAAACAGGGGAAGCAGGGGGGTTTTGGTTTAGCTGAAGATACAAGTTAACGGTCACATTGGTTTTTTTGTGTTTTAAAAAGATTGAAGACTTTCAAATTTGGGCTGACACGTGAGCAAAACGGTAGGGCGGTGGTGTAACGGCTAGATATGGCCTGGTCCACAGTGATTATGATAATTAAATCTTTATAGCAAAGTCTTGGCCACTTCCATCTACCTTGGATTTTATTTGATGAAAGTATTTTTGGACCTATTTGTTTTGGACGAATTTGATAGAAAGCTATCACCAATTCAATAACACAATGTTGATTATAATTCAAAATGGAAGTGGGTGGCAAAAGGAAGAAACAAACAACCTGACTTCGGGTGTATGGGTAAATACATTTAATCACTCGTATAACTAAAAAGAAAATAATTCTAGTCTTCGGTGTGAAAATAATTTCAAACGATGCTTCATAGTACAAGTAAAAGACTTGTGCTCCTTTAATCATGAACTTTTTTTTCCAAGTGATTAGGTGGAATACTTTGAATGGAAAACTTGAGGGTCAATTCTCTTGTTCAAATCAAAAGAAATAAAGAAGCAATCATTTCCTTCATCATTCCAAGTTTGAACAAACAAATAAACACACCCTTAAAAGCCAGCAGAAAGCCCCTTTTGTGCGCATCCAATATAATTGTTCCACAAGGCCCCACAAAAATAAGGGGCATAGCTACTAGTGTTCTTGTAATTAAGTAAAGATTAAAAAAGAGAGTAGTAATTAGTCTTTCAATTTGTAATGATACGGCTTATTAGTAAATTACAATGCTCGGATTAAAGTCAATTTTGTTAGTTTACATATTTCACTCAAAAGTTCCTAAGTGTTTTTGCTCAAGCATTTGCTATTTTGGTATCTGTATTCAAACCATGTTCTCTAATACATAGATTTCATTTCTCTGGTTAACTTGCAGACCAACGTGATTTACTATTTACCGTAGCTAATTAGTTGTTGAAAGAGTTTTTATAAAAAGTTCTTCTACTAGATGACATGGTATGAATGTCGCAGATCTGTGTGGAAGTGTTTTCATAAGAAACACTTATGCTCATGAGAAAAACTATCCGCTATTGATGAATAGTCGATTCTTTGATCCCTGCCAAAGATTGTTGGATGCAACCGGTGTTCCAATTGTCAAAATCTTTTTCTTGCTCACAAAAACGAACTCTATAACTCATTTGAGCTAATTCTATAATATGATGATTCAAATTGTTCTTTGTATTTTCCTCATTTAAGAATGATATCTTTAAGGAAAAAAAATAATTCAAATATGCTATCGTTAAGTCATTTGCGATGATTGTAATTATTTAAGTGTTTATCAGTTTTCGTGTGATTGGATTAGATGACCTGTAAAACTCATCAAGTATGTGACAAATGGACTCCATTAGAGGAAGATTTTTCCAGATCTGACATAGGGTAGGGACCATGTTTGGTCCAAGAAGTCAAGAAAAGTGAAAGTGATGGTGAATTTAACCCATGTCTTGGAATCAAAGCCTATAACCAAGCAAAGAAATAGTGTTACTTCCAGCACTCCTTTCTCTAAAATTGTAAAACATTTACACACATTATCCAAACAACTAAATGAGTAGATATCATCAAGGGGAAATTAATCTTTGGAGTACAACTATATAAATCTATCTATATAAAACAAAAGATAGGGAATGGTAACCCAACTACCCATTTTTTTTTTTTAATTCTAAAATATATTTATTTTATTTATTTTTTAAAAACTTCTCACAAGTGCGGAAGCGCGTGCGAGAACCGAACATTTTGAAATTTTTTTGAAAAAATTGGTTTTGGCTTGAACTAGCTAGTTCAATTCTTGATTCTTGTCACTTAAAAATCGAAATGAACCGATTATATGATGTCATTATCAGCCAATGTATTGATATATCACGGTCTCACCCTCCCTTATCTCCTTCACAGTCTCAACCTCCCTCATATCTCTCACGATCTAACAACCTCCATCCACGCCTTCAACGTCGTCATCCACTGTCTTTTTGCAAATTTCACTACAAACAAGTCCTGTTCATTGCCTTAACGACTCTATCAAGAGTCGTATTCATTGCCCTAGCCTTGTGCAAATGTCACTAAAAAGAATCGCGTACGACTCCATTTATAACGTGTAATTTGGCTTCTCACTATTATTGTACAAAATCATTGAGGCAAAGACAACAATGCCACGTACCACATGAACATCAAAACTCTATATCATCTGACGAAAGTGGGGAGTAAAATAGATTTAAAAAAAAAAAAAACCTTTTATACATAGACTAATCAAATTTGAATCTCCAATTCCTTGATTAAAAAAAACAAGGATCAAGTAAAGTCTCAATAAAAATTTCCTCTTTTTTTTTTAATTTTTTTAAATTAATATTGATTGATTTATTGTTTATTTTATACAAACAATATTGAAGACAAGGAATTCGAACACAAAATTTTGGAGTAGATAATTACCCTTAACCATTTGAGCTAAAAACCGTTTGTTTTAAATTTTCATTAGATACATGCTTTAATAATAATAATAATAATCAGAAAGAGGTTTAATATATCATTTTTCTTTCTTTCATATCCGAATATTTTTGTTATTATTGTTTTACAGGATTAAGAACTTAATAATGGCCTAAACCCATTTGTAAACAGGTTATTTCGGTGGCTAACCAAAAAAAAAAAAAAAAAAAAAACTTATTCATCACTTTCATGAAATTGGACCGATTCCATCATAGATGCTCGGAGCCTCTGCATTTAGAATCCGTTCATTTATCTGTATTTCGTGAAATCTACCCCAACCTCTACATTTAAGATTCGTGCATTTACCTGCATTTTATGAAATCTAGTCACTCACAAAAGCCTTAATAGAAGACAGTACGTACTAGTGCAAAGGCAGTGAAAAACTCTGATACTTGTAACTTCTCGTCAAATCGATATCACAAGAGCCTTGAAAAGGAAGATTGTGCAAGTGGAGTCTGCCTTTGGAGAGGGACTTCTCTCTAGTTGCAAATTCTCTACCCATGTACTGATTAGGAGAGAGATAAAGAGAGGGCGCACCATGTCAAGGATAAGGAACCATTTCTCCTCCTTTTGGCATTTTCTTGAAAATTTATGGCTATAGATTAGCCTAATGACATCCTCAATTAGTGTTGTTGTTTGCTAATTAACCCACCGCACAATAACCATGTAAGGATCATTAGTACTGATTCTATGAAGGCTTCTGTTAGTATATGGTAGAGCATAATTGAGGCCAAAACTCAATGAAAAATTGTCACGTCATTTAGTAAACAACTTAAGTAAAAATATGTAGCACTACCCATATTGATCACTTGGTTTAATCTCTTTTTAAGTTAAATTTTGACTGAAGCAATAGTATTTTTCTTTTCTTATGAAAAGTTCTAATTTTTCTTTTTAATACAAGTGATAATCTATTCCAGATTAATCTAATTTACGAGAAAGTGAATTCGAATTTGAGTACAAAGGCAACTCCACGTCTGTAGGAAAGTTCTAATTTTAGTTCTAAAAATCATACCCAACTTCCAAAGTCCTTGTTATTTAGGATAAAATGAACATGGTAGTAGACTTCCTAGTTCCTAGGATAAAATTCAGCATGCACCACAATTAGACATTTCAAATTTTCATATATAGTTAAGGTAGTTTGCATTTGTATACACCACCAACTTATAACTACACTATAAAACTACTATCTCCCTCCCCTCCCCCTGCCCACCTCCTCCCCAACTCCACCATGGAAGAAGAAGCCCCCTCACTCTCCACCACCACCACAAGCCCTCTCCTCCTCCACGAGCGGTGGCGCCACCACCTTCGCCTCAAAACCACGCTCTGCGCCGAGCTCTCCGGCGCAGTGGGTGACCTCGGCACCTACATCCCCATCATCCTGGCCCTCACCCTCGTCTCCCACCTCGACCTCAGCACCACCCTCATCTTCACCGCCCTTTATAACTTCACCACCGGCCTCCTCTTCGGCATCCCCATGCCCGTCCAGCCCATGAAGTCCATTGCTGCCGTCGCAATTTCCGAGTCCCCCCACCTCTCCCTCCCCCAAATCGCCGCCGCTGGTCTGTCCACCGCCGGCGTCCTCCTCCTCCTCGGGGCCACCGGCCTCATGTCTTTGCTCTACCGCTTCCTCCCCTTCCCCGTCGTCCGCGGCGTCCAGCTCTCTCAAGGCCTCTCCTTTGCCTTCACCGCCGTTAAGTACATCCGCTTCAATCAAGACCTCGCCGCCTCCAAATCCACCTCCCCTCGGCCCTGGCTCGGCCTCGACGGCCTCCTCCTCGCCCTCTCTTCCCTTCTCTTCATCGTCCTCGCCACCGGAGCCGGCGACGACGATCACACTCACAATCTCAGCACTGAAAACACAATCAATCGTCGCCGATCACCACGACTTAATCAACAGCTGAAAGTTTTATCCCAAATTCCTGCAGCTCTCGTAGTTTTCTTATTTGGGCTGATTTTGTGCTTTTTCCGCGACATTTCAATCTTGGGCGATCTCAAATTTGGGCCCTCTAAGATAACCTTGTTGAAGATTACATGGGAAGATTGGAAAATTGGGTTTGTTCGCGGGGCAATTCCCCAAATCCCACTGTCAATCTTAAACTCTGTGATCGCCGTCTGCAAATTATCCGGCGATCTGTTTCCAGACAGGGAGGCGTCAGCGAGGACGGTTTCGATCAGCGTAGGGGTCATGAACTTCGTCGGGTGTTGGTTCGGGGCAATGCCTGTGTGCCATGGAGCTGGAGGGCTTGCTGGACAGTACAGATTTGGAGGGAGGAGCGGGGCTTCGGTTGTGTTTTTGGGGATTGGGAAGTTGGTTTTGGCTCTGCTGTTTGGGAACTCATTTGTGAGTATTCTGAACCAGTTTCCGATTGGGATTCTTGGGGTGCTCTTGCTTTTTGCTGGGATTGAATTGGCTATGGCTTCCAAGGATATGAACTCAAAGGAGGAGTCTTTTGTGATGTTGGTTTGTGCTGCGGTTTCTTTGACTGGTTCTAGCTCTGCGTTGGGTTTTGGGTGTGGGATTTTGTTGTTTTTGTTGCTCAAATTGAGGGAGTTGGAGTTTTCTAGAGTTGGGTTTCTGAAATCTAAGTCAGAAGAATCATCCAAAGATGATGAAGCTACTAGCTTGATCCCTTGAGGTTTTGGGTTCGCCTGTTTTTGGTTCAAGTTAAAAGTGCTTTACAGAGGAAACTTCGAGCTCATATTGGTCATGGGTTGAGAACGGGAATTGAACTCTATGAGATCTAATCTCCTGTTGTTCCTCAGTAGCTCAGTGGTAGAGGGGTCGGCTGTTAACGGACTGGTCGTAGGTTCAAATCCTACTTGGGGAGATTTTATTCATTCCGAATTCTTTAATTCGGAATGACTTGAGAGGGGGATTCACTGCAAATACTAACTTGGCTCATTATTGCCGAGATAATGGTTTACTTCTTCACATCCACACCGTGCAATGCATGCAGTTATTAATAGACAGAAGAATCATGCTATACACTTTCGTTGCTTGGTAGTACTTCGTGCAAATACTGCAATGAGAGTTGGCTACATGTATTATGTTGTTTATTGAGCAGAGATAAATTAATGATACAATAAAAAAGAGAAGATGTAATCATGTAAAGCCTACATGAGATAAGCATAGCTTTTACATTAGTACTATTTCTCTTCTCAATCTTGAAAGAGGTTTCAAAAATTGAATATCTTCCTTAATTATCCACACACAAAAAGTCTAAAGTTGGTCGATTTAACATTAAGTGAACAAATCATTTGCTTAAGCATTTCTGCACGATTTTAATTGTCATGCGAATTAAATAAACCCAAGTCTCCTAAATGAACTGTGATACATGTGTTCTATTGAACAGTAGTGCCCAAAAATATAGCATAATAAATTAATATTTACGTTCTTTTTTTGTCCTTTTTTTTTTTGGGTTTGAATTGAATAATATGAGATATTGGGGAACAAGGTGGTCAAGTGTGACAATGTGTAAAATTTAGGTGGCTTATTGTAGTAGTATCAAAAGCAACAAATAATTGTTCAAAAGAAAATAATAATTAAAGGGTGCTTAATTTCCCACTCTCCTTTTGTTTATTTATACTCCCTCTTGTATAAAAAAAAATACTTTTTACTATAATATACAAGGGAGTGTAAGTGGACAAAAGATGAGTGAGAACATACAATTTCCAACAAAAGAAGTGTAAGTGGACAAAAGAGGAGTGAAAAAATCAGCTCCCGTAATTAAAATGAATTTTTTATTATCTATATATATAAAGCAAAAGGTAGATAATGATGAAACGTTCAAAATACTAGAAAATGCCTTTGGTTAATCCAAACATTAAGAATTGAAATTATTAATTAAATGAGGATAATATGATAAATTCACACTTTTTCATATTTTAAAAAATAAAATTAAAAGAAAATTTAGATAATGGATCCTATTTTTATGGAACACAACTACCTAATATTATTTTTAATTCTAAAATAAATTTTAAAATTATAAAAAAAAAAAACCTCTCACAGGAGTGGAAGCGCATGCGAATAAATAAGCTAGTAATAGTAAAATAAAAAGGTTTAAAAGGTTAGCAACAATGGCGAGCATCTATGATACATGACAATTGAATCTTTGGATATAATAATTCATAAGATACAAGATTGGGTTAGGCACTTTCATAGGTACTCCTTGTTTGCAAAAATACTCTTAAGCTCCGTTTGGTTTACAGAATGGATTTAAGGGTAAATAACATTCCATGACATTTTTTAAGGGATGAGAAATGGAAGATTCATTTCCCATGTTTGGTAATGCTGGGAAAGTAACCGAGAGATATTACTTTATTTCCTTTCCCATGTTTGTTTTGAGCAGGGATAGAAAACAAAGTTTGTATAAATTTTCAATTATACCCATATTTAATCAAATAAAAAAGAGAGAATGCATTTAATGATTTATTATAATTTTAAATTGTTAATGGGGACAAAATGGTCATGAAAAATGTTTATTTAATATTGACTTATTTTTCCAAACTTTCTCATGAGGAGGAAAAACAAAACCCAAGTTAGGGAGAAATTTTTGTAGGTGCCCGGTATACCAGCTAGCTGGTGTACCCACCAATAGGAATGAGATATGTGTAATAATTTATTTTTAGGCTTTTAACTATTTGTTTCGTTAGTAGTCTTCCGTTAGCCTTTGAACTATGTCTCTCCATTAAGCTTTTGCTGCATCGGAGTCTTCCAATTTTTTATTTCTCAATTCTCTCTTTTGTTCTCCAAAGTTATGGAACTCCCCCCTTGTTAAATTCAGAGCACAACCTGAACAAAAGAGAGAATTGAGGAAGATTGGGGTCGAAATGGTGAGCTTTTTATATGGGTTTTGAGGAAGTTGAGGAGGTGGGTGTGGTTAGAAGTTCGTGAGAGAGTGATGGTTGGGTGAGGAGTTGATGGGGTTCTTGGTGCGCTCGGAAGTGTTGGGTTTGGGATTGGAGAGAGCACTGGTTTTGGGTTCTTAGGGGTTTGCTCCAATATTGGTATGGTTATTGGTCTTCTCATGTTCTTATATGTGTGTGTATTTAGCCCAGTTGTGTTTTTGTGTTTTGTTGATTTTCTGTACTTGTTATGTTGATTTGGTTTCAGGGGAAAGTGAAACAAATTGTTGGGTCTACCCTTTCAGATTCAAAGGAGGATGGGTCTGCTCTTGTTACCAATTTTGTGTTAGGTAAGTCAACGGCGGAGCATGCAAAGATGTATGAAGAAGATGGCCTCACAGGTGTTCATGCGATCACGCTTGGACCTGCCCCTTTGACTTTGAGCAGAGCTGCAGCCATTGAAGCTCTGCTTACCTATCCTGGTGGGTCTATGGTTGCCTTCTTGTTCTTGTAGATTCTATTGCTGTGTTCGAGTTTTTGGGAATACTAACGGAACAAGTGTAACTCAATTGGTATCAACGGAACAATACCAACAGAACCAAAGGCTAACGGAGAGACAAAGATAAAAGGCTAACGGAAGAATACTAATGGAACAAATAGTTAAAAGGCTAAAAATAAATTATTACACGTATCTCATTCTTATTGGCCGGTACCAGGTACCTGCAAAAATTTCTCTAAGTTAGGAGGGTGGCTTCATTTTCCCCCTTATTTTTCCATGAGCCAGACAACGATTTCCCATACTTGGATTTACTAAACATGGGAAAACAATTGATTTTTCATTCTCAAGTCTCCTTTCCCATGAACCAAACGGAGCCTAAGTAACTATGAGAGGCCCCACAGCCCTCCTTGATATCTTAGGCCCAGTTTGTGATTGCTGTCACTTTTAAAAAAAGTTGCTTCTGCTTTGCTTTGAAAATAATTTGCTGTAAAGTAAAGCAGCTCCATATTTGGTAAAAAAATATTTTTAAAGTGCTATTAGTACAAAAAGTAGTGTCAAAATCGTTTGGTAAATTTTAATATAAAATTATTATAACTGTGAATAATGACTAAATTAGACATGATGTTAAAAGTGTTATGTACTAATCATTTGGTGGTAGTGGTAGTGATGAAGTGGAGGTAGTGGTGGTGGTAGTGGTGGTGGTGGGGATGGTGATTGTGGAGGTGATGGTGGTGGTGGTAGTGGCAGCATGGTGGTGGTTGTGGTGTTGGTTGTGGAGGTGATAGTGGATGTGGAGATTTTGGAGGAGGAGGTGGTGGTGGGGGAAAGTGAAACAAATTGTTGGGTATACCCTTTCGGATTCAAAGGAGGATGGGTCTGCTCTTATTACCAATTTTGTGTTAGATAAGTTAGAGGTGGAGCATGCAAAGATGTATGAAGAAGATGGCCTCACAGGTGGTCATGCGATCACGCTTGGAGCTGACCCTTTGACTTTGAGCAGAGCTGCAGCCATTGAAGCTCTGCTTACCTATCCTGGTGGGTCTATGGTTGCCTTCTTGTTCTTGTAGATTCTATTGCTGTGTTCGAGTTTTTGGGAATACTAACGGAACAAGTGTAACTCAATTGGTATCAACGGAACAATACCAACAGAACCAAAGGCTAACGGAGAGACAAAGATAAAAGGCTAACGGAAGAATACTAATGGAACAAATAGTTAAAAGGCTAAAAATAAATTATTACACGTATCTCATTCTTATTGGCCGGTACCAGGTACCTGCAAAAATTTCTCTAAGTTAGGAGGGTGGCTTCATTTTCCCCCTTATTTTTCCATGAGCCAGACAACGATTTCCCATACTTGGATTTACTAAACATGGGAAAACAATTGATTTTTCATTCTCAAGTCTCCTTTCCCATGAACCAAACGGAGCCTAAGTAACTATGAGAGGCCCCACAGCCCTCCTTGATATCTTAGGCCCAGTTTGTGATTGCTGTCACTTTTAAAAAAAGTTGCTTCTGCTTTGCTTTGAAAATAATTTGCTGTAAAGTAAAGCAGCTCCATATTTGGTAAAAAAATATTTTTAAAGTGCTATTAGTACAAAAAGTAGTGTCAAAATCGTTTGGTAAATTTTAATATAAAATTATTATAACTGTGAATAATGACTAAATTAGACATGATGTTAAAAGTGTTATGTACTAATCATTTGGTGGTAGTGGTAGTGATGAAGTGGAGGTAGTGGTGGTGGTAGTGGTGGTGGTGGGGATGGTGATTGTGGAGGTGATGGTGGTGGTGGTAGTGGCAGCATGGTGGTGGTTGTGGTGTTGGTTGTGGAGGTGATAGTGGATGTGGAGATTTTGGAGGAGGAGGTGGTGGTGGTGAAGGTGGAGGTGGAGGTGGTGGTGGTGGAGGTGGTGGTGAAGGTGGTGGAGGAGGTGGTGGTGGTGGCGGATGATGAGGAGGAGAAGGATGTGATGGTAGTGTCATTTTTTAAAATGAATGATGGTATTTTGGGAATTAAAAAAATTCATTAAAAGTTCATCTTTGCTTATTTTGAAAGCAGCTTTGAAAAGTAACCCACAGCATGCTTTTAAAAGCTATTGTCAAAAGGCCACTGCTTTTAAAATAATCGGGATATTTTATTTTTACTAAATACCTTAAACTGCTTAATTTTAAAGTGAAACAGATTTTTGACGAAAAAAAGCAATCCCAAACGGGGCCTTAAACCCTCATGCTCCTCAGCTCCACCAAACAGAGTCAAACACCTTCCATTGGGCATCCGTGGCTGGGTAGGTTTTTTTTTATGCTTTTTATTTTTATTTTTATGTTATTTTATATATTTGATGTAATTATTTTAAAGAATTGGTGTGTCCGACAGTGTACACGGTTGTTTTGTCGTCGTTACCCCTAAACCCACCTAAAACCCAATATCATCCTTCGCGGGTTGCTAAACCCAAAATCAAAAGTCGGCATCGTTCGTTCTCAAACACTTCCACAAACCAAAAGCCCCCTTCTTCATCTTCTTCTGCAGTTTCTCAATTCAACATGGCAACCCTATCACAAGCTCAGGCCGTCAAGTCGCTCAACAAATCCCCCGGACGCCGCCGTTTTGTCGTAAGCTTGCTCTTTGTTCTTTTTACTTCAGTTTTCTTTTTAAAGAATTTCATGATGATATTTGGTTGGTTTTTATGTGCAGTTCAAGAGCTTCTCTCAGAGACTAGAAGAAGTTGAAATTGATGTATTCCGAAGCCTTGATAAAGTTAAATCAGAGCCGCAAGCGGGCTCTACGTTTTTCCGGGACTGCCTCGTAGAATGGAGGGTATGTGCCTATTTTTCATAAGATTTTTCTCCAATTTTTAATCTTTTGTTGTTTTTTCTTTTCTTGTTTGTGATTGTTGGTGCTGATTTTTGTTGTAGGAATTGAACACGGCTGAGGATTTCATCGCTTTCTATGAGCAAATGACGCCATTGGTCCAAACATTGCCTTTGGTGTTGTTACACAAGGAAACCGTAATCTCAGAACTCCTTTCTAGATTACAGATGAAGGCAAGGTTGTCGCTTGAGCCCATTCTCAGGTATGCTAACTTATTTGACGCCAACCCTTTTGAGATATCTGATTGTATCTTTAGATTTTTTAATTTCCGAGAGTGGAGCTTTTCTTTTTCTTTTTAAAATTAGCTATGTTTGTGAGCAGGTTAATTGCAGCCCTGTCTAGAGATCTCCTAGAGGACTTTATCCCGTGAGTTTCCTCAGCCTTTAGAATGAATTTAATTTATAGCTGCTGGTGTTTTGTTGTTTTTACTTCCTTAATTGGTCATGATGTCTGTTGGTTATTCAAGACGACTCTTTCAGTCTCTTGAAGAATTGCATCATGACCTTTTGTTCTGGTTGAACTTATTTATTGTCACTTATGTGGGTTTCTGTCAGCTTCTTGCCAAGGATTGCTGACTCTCTAGTGTGTCTCCTAGAAAGTGGTGCTGATAGGGAGCCAGAGACCATTGAGCAGGTCCAATTTTAGTTTTGTTTATTTCCTCTTTACTCTTATTGGGGTTTACGTGTAATTTTACATGAACTCATGGTTTGCGGTGTATTTTTTGCAGATCTTTACATCGTGGTCATCTATTATGATGTACTTGCAAAAATATCTTGTACAAAAGCTTGTGCATGTTCTAAAGTAAGTACTTGGTATTGATTTTCAGTGTGTCAAAGCAAACTGGAGGCTTTTATTTTATACAAAATAAGCCCCTTTTTAACTTTCAGAGTGGTGATGAGAATATTTATGTGATATATATGTGTGTATATAGGGTTACTGTAAAATTGAGATATTATCCAAAAGATTACATCCAAGAATTTATGGCAGAGGGGATGTCATTCTTGCTGAGAAATGCACCTTTTGAGCAGCTTAAAGAAGGTATACCTTGCCATATTTTATATTTTCAGTTTTCGCCATCTGAATTTGTTGACTAGGGGGAAACATAGATTATCTCTATACGAGTCCCTTGAAGCATGCCTTACTTTGAATGTGTTCAGGACTTTTTGTTTCATGGATTCAAAATGATGCAGTTTTCTTTTGTTTTTTTAACTTACTCTTCATCTCATGCTTAACATGGCGACAATTATCATCTAGATGCTTGTTTGTTTTTTCCCCATGTATTCTGTCAATGATGGATAATAATGTGTAGTTTCTAATTTGATATGCACTACATCTGATGGAAGACTGACCTTCTTTATGTCTTTATTAAAATATTTTAATCCAATCACTTGTAGCTGAAGATATAGTTTCAGTTTAGATAACAATAAATTGTTGGCCATATGCGTGTTATGTTGAATTAAGTTTCTTTCACAGGAATTGATAAATTTTCCTCATCATTGAATTGCTGCAGGTGTCAAAAAGGTCATGTTTGAAGTTGTGAAGAAATCAATACCTGTCAGAAAATGTGGAGTCAGTGCTTTACTATATTTTGTCATGCGAGGGACCTCATCAAGGTTCCATTCTAAAGCCGAGCAAGTGTTGCATTTATTGATGGACAACTTGATACTTGGTATTGGTGAAAATATCAGCAAAGGTAAGCTTATTCAGTGGAAAGCTTGTTGACTGTGCTTTGACCTATAATTATATCATATTAAAAGGAGTATTTTTACTATATTCATATTTCATACGTGAAAATTGTATACTATCATTTAAGGTTCATCCGATACTTACCCAAGAGTACTTGAATATGTTTGTGATTTTGGCTTGGCTTAAGTGTGAAGTGCAAATACAAATTAAAGGTTATGAAAGAACGATTGGTTGGTTTAAGAGAAAATTGGTAGTAATTCTAAATTATATGTATGTTCATGTTTACCTTTTCATTTGTTTATTTGTCAAATAATTGCAACCACGCATTTTAGGAGTCCACAAATTGTATTAGATTTTCTGGTGAGATGCATGATCCTCCTCTAGTAGTTGAGAATTTTGGATTTTCCTGGATTCTCTACTGTTAAGTGAATCCAAAGGTGCTCAGTCTATTGACTGTATTGTTATCTCTTTAATTTGTATTTGATGTAGAATGCATCGATTTGTTAAATGAAATATTAATGATTGATCTTATTGCAGTAAGTAATATTTTTGGGAGTTCTATTGATTTTGTTTGTCTCTGACTCTCTCTCTCTCTCTCTCTCTCCCTCTCAATGCTGCAGGTTCAGACACTGTTGTTGAAGTCTTAATTTCTGCATTACAAAGATTATGTGATGACTTGGACTCCAAGGAGTTGAACTTAATGTTCAATATCTTATATCAGGAAATTACTGACTGTGTGATTAATGGAGGTGTTGAACGTTTAAGCCGCCTGTTGTTATTGCTTGTTTCTACCATTCAAGTTAAGAATGGCCAAAGGGTTTCCGGTGAGTGATAGTGTTTTTGTTTTCTGATTCGTTTATTTTACTATTAAGCATTCATTTCTTTAGTAATGATGTGTTTGTCTGCTCCTTGTGCTACCAACTGTAACATTTGACAGATTACCAACAAATGCTTGAAATTGTGGGTTTGCTTGTGCGGACATTTATCATTCCTTCTGGCATTACAATGGCAAAGGAACATTCATCTGATGTTGTGGATAAGGTTTTGCAGTTAATGCTCAGTATTCTTAGTGGACTGCACAGTTACAATGATATGTCAACCATATCTAGTTGTTCATTGCAATGGGCTCCTGTATTTGATCTAAAGAACTCAAGGTGCTGCCTTGAACGAAATCCTTGTGCTTCTGATGTTTTTTGTTTTGTTTTTTCTTCTGGATTAGTTTGTTTGACATAGTCGAGTCCTGCTGTTACAGTTTGTTGGGTTTTATTCGACAACTATTACAAAAGGATGTTTGCGTACTAGATATCTTCAGAGTTAACATTTTAAGGTAAGATCGATTTTTTTTTCTTTGAGTGTTTCTGTATTATTATCTATTATGTGGCTTTTAACTTTTTCAATTGAATTTTCAGGGCCATGAATGATTTAATAGAAACTTCACAGGAAGATGTAATTTATTTGTTACTCACCTTCAGTGAAAAACTACAAATGGAAACCCAAAGCTTGACCTTCTTAGA